CCCCCAAAGCCCCCCAGGGACCCCCCTTTCCCCCCCCCCTCACCGTTCCTGCTGTTCTGTTTGAGGGTGCTGGCCGAGAGCTGGATGGAACCGTCGCCCCCCAACTCCTGCGGGAACACGAGCTCCTGGAGCGGCCCCTCCGTGCTCAGCACTGACACCTCCAGCACTGCAGGGACATGTGACTGTCATACATGTGTCATACATGTGACTGTCATACATGTGTCATACATGTGTCATACATGTGTGTGTCACACACACACACACACACAGGAGCTCCTGGAGCGGCCCCTCCGTGCTCAGCACAGACACCTCCAGCACTGCAGGGACACACGTGTGTCATACATGTGTCATACATGTGACTGTCATACATGTGTGTGTCATAGATGTGTGTGTGTCATCCATGTGTGTGTCATCCATGTGTGTGTCATCCATGTGAGTGTCATACATGTGTGTGTCATACGTGTGTGTGTGTCATACATGTGTGTGTCATACGTGTGTGTGTGTCATACATGTGAGTGTCATAGATGTGTGTGTGTCATACATGTGTGTGTCATCCATGTGTGTGTAATACATGTGTGTGTCATACGTGTGTGTGTCATACATGTGTGTATAATACATGTGTCATACATGTGTCACACACACACACACGTGACCTGCAGGGGACGGGGCCAGGGGGAGGGAGGGGAGGGGCACCCGCTAGGGGGTCTCCCGGGGGTCCAGGGGGGGGTTGTTGGGTGTTTGGGGGGACCCCCCAATGCCCTGGGGGGGTCTGGGGGGTCTCCTGGGGGTCCTGGGCAGGGTTTGGGTGTTTGGGGGGACCCCCAATGCCCTGGGGGGGTCTGGGGGTCTCTCAGGGGTCTCTCAGAGCTGACCCAGCTTCTGATGGGTGGGGGTCCCAGGGAGGGGTTTGGGGGTCCCAGGGAGGAGTTTGGGGGTCCCAGGGAGGGGTTTGGGGGTCCCAGGGAGGAGTTTGGGGGTGTTTGGGGGTCTCTCAGGGGTCCCTCATTGCTGACCCAGATTCTGCCGAGCCACCAGGGAGCGGGTGAGGTTCCCAGGGAGGGGTTTGGGGATATTTGGGGTTATTTAGGGGTATTTAGGGGGTCTCCAGGAGCTGACCCAGGTTCTGCCGGGCCGCCAGGAAGCGGGTGGGGGTCACAGGGAGGGGTTTGGGGGTATTTAGGGGTATTTGGGGAGTCCTTTAGAGCTGACCCAGGTTCTGCCGGGCCGCCAGGAAGCGTGCCGGCTCCTTGACGTTGTCTGCCAGCAGGAAGGCCCCTTCCTCCAGCACGTCCAGCAGCATCGTGGCCGTGTGCGCCTGCTCCGAGCCGTTCATGTCCCGCCACGACTCCAGCGCCTCCGGACGCAGCAGATTGTCCACGGCCTCCACCACCGCCTGCGGACACGCCCACGGGGATGGGACACGCCCACAGAGACACGCCCACCGGGATGGGACACGCCCACAGGGACACGCCCACACCCACCGCCTCCACCACCGCCTGCGGACACGCCCACCGGGATGGGACACG